CTGGTGTGGCATACAGACATGACCCCTCAGAAGTTGGAAAGCCCTGCTCCAAAACATAAGAACACAAGAGATGCTGAGCTGGGGCATACCACATGTCCATCCAACCCAATATTCTGAACATCTCGGTAGCAGAGAACAGATGCTTAAAGGGAAGGCTATTTCTGCAGGGCCTATCCAGACTGAGCTGTCCCTTGCCTCTTTCCTTGTAGCTTCCACCGATGAGAGGCCTGGAAAGTCCTAGTTTGGAAGTTGCAGCCCTACTCTTGCGTTCATTGCTCACTGCTGGATCTATCCTGCATGAACTTATCTAATCTTCTTTTGAATTGGCTTAAACTGACAACCACTACATCATCTTGTGGCCATAAGTTCCACAAGTTACATGCACACTGAAAAAAAATCTTTTAGCTCATAATTTCATTGCATGTCCCCTACTTTGGCATTGTGGGACATAGTAAATATTAAGTCCCTATTTTCTTTCTTGACACAATTCGTTATTTTATAGATCTCCTTCATATCCTGCCCTTCAGTTCACTAAACTGAGAAGTCCTGGCCCAGTTTCTCTCTGCTCTTATGGAAGTCTCCCCAACCCCCTAATCATCATTACTGCCCTTCTCTGCACCTTTTCTAATTATACTCTACCTTTTTAGGGGCAGGAGAACTCAAACGGAATCCAATATTCAAGGTAGGGGCAGAACAGATTTATACAGTATTTAACGATATTGTGTTTTTCTGTTTAATTCCCTTACTAATAAAATAACTATTTGCCTTTTATTGGCTGCTGCTGCTATGGTAATGCTACAATGAAAAAAAATACATTTGGTGAGTAAGGGGAGGGAATTAAATGGTGTCACAAGAACTTTATGTCTGTCTGAATTAAGTTTATAAAATGAACATAAAACATGGAAAATTTACTATGCTAAGTGATAATTTAAATCTGCTGTTCAGTTTTCTTTTTAACACACAAAGAAATGATGCTTTGAGGAAGTATTGGTATTCTAGTAGAAATCTCCCAGCTTTAGCTTCTACAGTCTTAAACAAGTAATATGTACAGTGTGGAGGAACATTACAATTAAGATATGTATATTGTAAGTTACATACATTATATACATTCATAAAATCAACTATAGTCAGCTGCTTTTCAATACAAGCCTTATTGGTTGGCTAATTTACTGTAAGCATCATAGAAGAAGTTGGTTTGAAAGAATCTGAAGGAAGGGCTTGCTCTTACAAGTCAGTTTGGAAAGGCCATTCTGAACAGCCAGCTTCATAGAAGAAATCAAAAGGACTGTCAGAGTGAAAAGGGGCCAAGACAAAGCTAGAAAAAAAGAATTCTAGATAGCTGTTGGTAAAACATGCCTCTATATTTAGAAATAGGGGAGGGCTATATTTATTTGATTACAAGACAAGATGTATTCCCCACATATAACATGGACTCGGGTAAACACAGTACTTGGGGAAAAAACCAAGTGGAGTACAAGGACTACTTTTCAGGACAGACAGATCACTGCATGTCTCTACTGAGGAGAAGCGGCCAAAGGGGTCAGTAATCCAGAGAGATCATTAGGTCAAGCGAAAGGGTAGTAGAAGAAAAGCATAGGATACCTAATGTTAAGATGTTAATGAACATCTTAAAAGTAGGGTGAAACTAAATTAGAAGTTTCCTACTTGAGCAAGGGAAGTATAGATGCCTAGCAGTATAATTTACAAATATGTGAAATTTTATTTAAAAAAGAAGCATGCAGAATTTTGTTAAAATATTAGGATTGGACCCTGTCCCAGGAAAAATTAAATTCTAAACTAGAATTCACTTAAGGCATTAGAATCCCAACTAGAATCAAAATATTTTCATGAAATTATTTTATCTTTATCTTACATTATTTTGGTTGAAACCACAGACTATCACAAGTACACATTTTTTAAAAATGTTATAATGCAAACCTCAAACATCTTTCATCTACTACAGATTATGAAGCAAAATTCAGGGGCTAGTCAAGATTGTAGTTAGTGGTACCATGTCTACTGCTGGCCACAATTTCCACTCTTAAAATGAATCCCTGTAAGAATGGTCTTTAAATGTGCCAGCACTATCATTTGCAATAGTCTCTGCTTTCAGCAAGCATCCCCATCCAATCGCAACTCACTTTACAGCCGGACTTTCCATGCAAATTATCCAAATGGAGATAGATACAGATCTAATTTAGATTCTGGATTACAAAGATACTAATGAAAAGTGCTTTCTTACTTTATAAAAAGGAGTAATGTTACCCCATTTCTTTTTAAATATTTTTTTACTATGGATTTGACACGATTAACATCAAACCTAGTTAAACAAGATTTCTAAGAGGAGGGGAAGCTGTCATTACTTTTATACTTAAAAATCAGCAGAATATAAAAACAAAGTTGTGAATACTCAGAAATGAAAAAATGCGTGAAAAATAAAAACAGTTTCAGCATTAGAAACCAAAGCTGAGAGTAAAGAAACCAGTGTTTGTAAAGAAGTGTGTTGATTCTACTTGCTAAGACTGAGGTCTGATAAAGAACAAGTTTTAGGAATCTACTCACCGGGCATATATCTACACGCAGAATTAACGTGCAGCAATAAATTCTGGTACATATAGCACCAGGGTTTAAAATCAGTCCTGAATTTGAATGTGTGCCCAGGACCACACTAGATTGATCCAGGTCAGAGCAGCCCTGGCTGGCATGGGTCCTGGGGGGTCAGCATGCCAGCCTGGGGCTCCTCCAACCAAACTCAGCATGCTGTGGAGGGGCTGGCTGGGGCACGAGGGTGCCTCAGTGTCGGGCTAGCTGACAAAGCCACCATACTGAAGCACCCTCATGCTCCAGCCAGCCTCTTCAGTGTCTATACATGTTGCTGAGCACTAAAGAAGTCCACAACAGAACTGCAGTGGAGTTTATTAGTTTACTGTGGCCCAATAGGGCTGCATGTGTAGATACAGAGATGTTTACTGAGGAGCTAATTAGTCATCTCATATAGATGTGCCCACTGACTATTAAGGATATATCTACAACAAGACAATGCAGCTCCTTCTGGAGCCTCTGTGGTTGTTAGCACAGCATTGCCCCTGAGCTAACAACTTCAGTTAACATGCATATACAGTTCCCAAAGATAACATGCACAGAGCTACCTTGTGCATCTCTGCATGGTGCTGCAGCGTGACCTGTACACAAATCCATAATAGTCAATGGAAAGATTCCTAAAAACTTGGGCTGGCACATCACATTCCACTGTCCTTTAGTATGTAACTACACCTAGCCATGTCAGAAATAAATTAGATTAATACTGCATAAGCAGCAGGAAAAAATATTTTTTTTCCTAAAGAAATGCTGAATTTCCTAGGGGAGGAAAACTAGAGTTTATTCTTCTTAAATTAAAAATTCAAATATATTTGAACCAAAGCAATCTTTAACCAATCTCCTACTTGACTTCATTTGGTCTGTGAAGGGAAAAGAGACAAAAGGTACTGAATATGAACTGTGTCCCATGATTGAGGGTAATTAAAGCTAGGTCAGCAGAGTTTAGTTTACAGAAATCTAGTCAATTCAGTTGTATTGCCCTAGAGGAGATAATGCTTTGAAGGATGCACAAATTTCAGTATTTACAGATTTCTGCAAGTGTGATATTGTAACAAAACTATGCATATTAATAAGGATGTAATTTCATCTCTGGGATTTAGTGACAATGATAAACCACTCAAGCTTCACTCTTCATTTATATTGTCACCAGAACCCTTTGGTGGAATTACAGCCTTATGTACCCTTGGGGGTATGTTACTTCTTATAACTAAAATGTATGTATGAGAAAAATGACTCAATTTTTTTAAAACTGTGTCCTAGATAAAACATACGGAAGTTATAAGCTCTCTTAAGCCTTTTTGTCCCCTGCAGTAAAACTCAGATGTGTTCATGAAGGCAATCTGCAAGCTAATGAACTCTTAAAGCAGTATGTACAGATGTACACGTCAAGAAACACAACAGGATTATTGACACTCCCCCTCAATTCTCCTTTTGGAGAATACTAAAAACCTGCTATTGGTAGTCTTCAACACTTCAGAAAAATTTAGTAAAACAAATTTACCACCTATTTGATATATGGAAAAGAGTCAAGTAAATACAAGCTTTTAATTTTTTTTAGCTTCTCTGATAAACACAGTAGTAGTAGTAATAATAATTATAATAACAATACTACTACTACTACTAATAATAATGAAACAAAATTGAAAGCAACTCACACTTAACCTGTATCAACTTCCTGGTTCAGTAGCCTCACTTTTAGGTAAAGAGCAATGGCCAGTCTAAAGTACTGTTTTACAGAGAAGCTACAGGTTAACTTTGCAGGACTTCATGTTCACTGTATCAGTGATTTCTAAACTAAATCTGCACATTTTAAAGGAAAACTACATTATTCATTTTAAACCATAACATCATATTGAACCCATAATTTGAAAGAGAAGGTGGGTTCTTTCCTTCCTGAGCCTTTCTGGTCATTTGAAAAAGATAGACAGGCAGACTACCACTGAATAAGAACTGTCATACCCACTTCTTCTGTAGGCATGTGCGCCACTCCAATTCTACCTTAGTTAATTTTTTTCACAGCAGTGCCAATTCTGCAGTGTTCAGCAAAGTCAAGTACTAAAGCATGTTTGTTACGAAAGCTATCAGATATGTCTGAGTAACAGCGATCAGGATCTATTGAGTAAGAAAGGTACCTTACTATATCGAGTCACTTTTCTGGGTAGAACCACACTTTAAAGCAAAAGTTAATCTTCGCAGGACCACAAACCAGCAGCTCTGTCAAAATCTAAATGATTTTGGTAGACAATAAATCAAGGATGATACTGTCAGTTCAGTACAAGTCGTAAAGTTCTGTTTTACCTGAGGTGTTTAAAGCTCATAGTGTGATCTACTAGTAATATACAAGATTGAAGAATTTGTCTACACATTTTGTCCATGAATTGTGTACTCATGATTCCATTTACCTTGCATTCAATCTCTGCTTGTCTGCGTTTGGCTTCACTTAACTGAGCAAGAAGTCCTTTGTTCTGTGTAGAAAGATACTGCACCTTCCCTTGCAGATTGGTAACCTCTTGCTCCGCCCTTCGCAAGTGGTTGCTATTGATCTGATTCTGCCATTTATAAAAACAGAAGATAAAGTTTAAGAGGAAAAATGTCAAAGAAGGTCTTTGATGTTTATCCCACCTAACTCACTCCAACAAGGCAAAGACTGATAAGTTACTCAAGAAACTACTCCTACTCTGTAAAAAGGACTGACGGGGTTTGCTTGTTTGTTTTTATTTACAAACTGAATTTGTACATTTTTACTGAGCAAAAAGCATTCTGAACTTTGACAGCCAAATATGCATTCAATCTTAATGTTTTACTTTAAATTAGAAAAATGACAGAACTACCTTTTGGCTGATAAATATCAAAAGTCAAAGTATGCTTAAGTAACATGAATTCAAGTACTATACACAGAACACTCAGATTAGTTACCAAGATGTTAGATTCTGCAAGCAAAATTACTTTTTATAGAAATCTTGTACAAAAATATAGTAATATAGCACCAAATTTTGTTCAAAGGGAAACTAACAATACACATGCACAGAAGCACGGAGTACATACAGTGAAGCATTAAAGGTTAAGATTTTTAGTACATGGCATCTGATAGAACAGGATAACTATGCCCCCTGCTGACTGTAGTAAAATAGTACAGGTTATATTTCCAATTACTGATCCTTTTTTGCTTAGGCTGCTGGCAGGAGTTAATGGATTCATGTAAATGGATTTTGAGGAATTTTATACCCCACTCCCCAATCACAAGATCTGCCATGCCACACATGCATGGCAGGTTGTGCAATTTAGCTAGTAGGGCATAAAATTCCTCAAATCCCAATCGTGCAACTGCCAGCTGTCAGCATGGGGTGGGGGGGCAACTGCAGCTGCAAAACAAGGAGCTCCCTGCTCCCCAGCTGCACCCCTGCACAAATGGAAGCAGCAGCTGGGGAGCCAGGAGCTCCCCCCTTTCCAGGTATTGCTTTCATTGGTGCCTGGGAACATAAAAAAAGTGGACAGGCAACTGGGGCTCCCCTATACGGCAGCTTGTTAAAGATTTGGGGCACAGCAAGTCCAACATCAAGGAGGCTTTCCTTGAGATTGGGATCACAGTGCCCCATATTTTTAAAAGGCTTCCCCCACTTTTTTAAATTTTTAAGTGCTTAAAGCCTGACATCAGGGAGAGGCTTCCAGTGACCTCCACAGTGCAGTTGGAATCAGGGAGGTCCTGTCCCCTGCTGCACAGCACCAGTTTAAAGAAGCACCCACACAAGCAGCAGGGGCTGGGAAAAGCTTCTTCATCCCCAGCTGCCAGCACCCAGCAGCTCTTCAAATGGATGAGTGAAGCTCGGGATAGGAGAGCTTTCCCATCCCCAGCTCCAAGTGTTGGGAAAACAGTGCATGCAGTGAGGCATAAGAGGAGTTCCCCCATCCCTAGCTGCTAGTGCCAGATGCCTTTTTAAAGGGGCACATGCAACTAGGGAAGGGAAAGCTCCCCCAGTCCTAGCTGCACTCAGCTGTTTAAAGAGCTGCCTGGTGTAAGGAGCTGGGGATGGGAGAAGCTCATATATTACTACCTGCATACCTGACATCTTCTGAGGATAAAGCAGGGGGCAGCTGGGCTCAGGAATGGAGCTATCCCAGCCCAATCCTGCCAATTAGGCAGGAGAAACTTTGTCTCAGCCCCCACGGCTGTCCTGTGCCAGACCCCAACACTCAGCTGAACACTGGGATTCAGCATCAGGCAGTCCTGCCCCAGTTCAGATTCAGGATCAGGTAGGCATGGGCTATGTCCCAGATCTTGCAACTGCCCCATGGCCTGAGGCTCTCCAGGACATGGCACCTTAAGGAGTCTTTCTGGGACTGTAGGGCAGGTTCTGGAGAGAATCTATATCAAAGGCTGGTATTGTCAGTTATATAAAGAACCTGTAAAGATTTCAGAATAGTTAATTGAAACATTTTTATTGCTCTAAAAAAACAGATTTCTCAGTACATTAAGATTCATGCATTTACTCTGTATAGAGAGTTAATTAAGCCAACCACGAAGAATTTAGAAAAATGAAATTTGGTTACTGAAATAATTGAAGAGGCATGAGAAAAATCAATGTTCTCTCAATCAATCAATCTCACAGCTTGGAAAAAAATCAAACTGCCTTGGAATTATTGTCCTAAGAAACAACTATCAAGGGAAAGGCTATAATTGGCACCCTAGATGCCAATATTTGCTTAGGTTCATAACATTAGCCTTTGGGGCACCAGCCCCAGACACTGATTTGGAGGGGGCACCAGAATGGCAGCAGGAGCTGGTGTGTGGGGAGCCCACACCACTGCAGCAGCAGCTGCCAGGGAGACGAAAAACCTAGCCCTGGCACAAGCTGCCAGGGTTTTTGAGTCTTTTCTTCTCTTCCCTGTACAGGCACAAAAATTCTTAGTTATGCCTCTAATTCATTAGTCTTGTCCTACATCATTGCAATGCTAGTTTTCAATATCATACCTGAGTTTCCATCTCCATCATTCTTTGTTTCATCTCTTTTAGCTCCGCCTGAGTTTCTGCTTCTTTCAATCGGATAGTCATTAATTCATCTTGCAGCTCATTCACGGTGTTCTTTCTGGGTGTATCTTTCCACCTGCCAGTGGTACGAGCTAGGTGACGCTAAAATAATTTACAAGTTTATAAAACTGATTTTGGTTGAATACTAGTCTCATCTCCGATTGAAAACAAAATACTTCACAAAGTGTGTTCATACATGTGCTCCAGGAGTTTGGGGGTGGGGGAGGGCGGGCTTTATTAGAGTGGCTGCAAGAGCCATTCTAATTAAAGCACCTGGAGCATCATATGTATCAGCATCCCTGTGCTGAAAAATGGTGACAGGGGCTCTTTAACTGAAGCTTGCTCAATTGAGTCTGCCCCAACACTGTAATTACAGTGCATTGGAGCAGCCTCGCTGCATGTGTATAGGTGCCCTTTGAAGTACCATGTTCCTGTTTGTCATGAAAAAAAAAAAGTAGAAATGCTCGCAAATATACATAAGTATAAGAAGTGAGAAATGGAGGCTTAAAGGCAGCAATTGACAATTGGGACAACTGGAAAAAGGAGAAGTTTGAGCACTTTAACATGTAATAAGAGGACTTTGCTAAGTTTTACATTTCAATTGCACTCATTGAAGTAGGATCCCTGTTTTCACTTTCTGCTGGTGTACTTCCTACCAAACACTTCAGTCTGTAGCATGAGGTAGGAACACATGGCTACAACTGGGTCCAATTTCAGATACATTTTAAATGTACATTTAAGTAAAGTTTCTTGTAGCAGCCTCATTTAACACTTCTCTTGCCCAATGCCATCCACCAATTTCTACCAGACACCCATTTTTCAGACTTATATATTCTCTTTTTTGCTTTCTTAAAAATACATTTTCAAAAGGTATAATATATTTATACCTGCCAGTGCTCCTCCAAATCCTTGACCTGCTGTCTAAGTTCTTTTAGTCCCATCAGAGCTTCTGCTTCCCTTAATTTCACCGCAATCAGTTCTTCTTGAAGTCTAGCAACATTATTCTCATCAGGTAAAGAACTGTTTCTCTGCAGCAAAAAAGACTCTCTTCAACATACATTTGAAGAATTTTTCATTTAATGAGTTTTTTGCAAGATAACCATTATTACTGGCTAAACACAATAAAACGTTTGAAAGTGCATGCAGTACACCTTCAGATGAAATTTAATTATTTGAAATCAAATATTTAAGATAGAGTAAGTGTGGATTTAAAGCAGAAAAACACCTTTTAAATGTGAACTAAAAAGTAGATATCCGTATTTCAAACTTTTAGCATTCAGATTTTTCTGGTTACAGTAGTTGGCATCTAAATAGAAGATTCACTAGAAAAGCAGGACAGGTAGCTGCATTACTTACACTGATTTTGTCATGAATAATGCCATAAAATGGATGCAAGACAAACCTGAAGGGGTTCTGAACTATGATCTTGTCAGGCAAAATGTAAGGGAAAAACTGATTTTACGTCATTTTTTTGTCATTTAGGCTTTCACATCTCTTCTATGAACTCCTAGACTTTGGTTTTTAGAATGTTTTTTCATCTTTAAAAGGGCACCAATGGATGCTGGAAAACGGAAATGTTGTGAACACTCAGTATGGTAGTTGGTCAAGACGCAATACAGATTAAGACAAAGAGATAGTAGGAGAGGTATAGACAGACATAACATTTGTAGCACCCCAAGTGTCTCTAAAGTGTTCCAAAAATGAGGGCACAGATCTATGATAAACCACTTCAAACAGGACCATTTCATCTTTAAAAATGATCCTGGAAAAAAACAGAAACAACTTTTACAAACTTTATAGTAAAGTACTTCGCATCCTCCAACAGAGCATGATGGTGAGTTGGTCAGTCTTCCAGCACCCCACAGTACTTTGTCTCATTTGTTGACCCTGTACCCCAAGGACTCTGCTTCTCCTGTATCTGAACAGTGTCAAGAACCCTTCGCAGCATGTCAGCAGCAGTCTGAACCATAGTAACGGTGCCACTGTCCACTGCTACATCCACAAGGCAGTTAACTAACTGGAGCTGGGCAGAAGTAATAGCTGTCCCTGCCAACTGGGGGAACAAGAACATGCAATACTCACTGAGAGGGAACTATTACAACCAAACTGCCTATAAGTAAATTGCCCCCTGAAATGGCTTGCTTGGAAGCACAACCATGATTGGCACCAGTGCTGTGCCAAGGCCAAAGTGCTGAAGGGACAAAATAAGGACCATGATGTCAATCAGGTCCAGGCACTCAGAGGGTGACTTGTGCCTGCCAGAAGGAGCTGTCACAGACTGTGGCCAGTGGAGACTCAATAGAGCCCTGGTTTGTTGCTGACTCCAGCATCAACCCCGAAGCATACAATGACTCCAAGGGCTGTAACTGGGAACAGGAGGACCCTCTGGATAAGGTCTCTCCTCCAGTTTGGGAGCACAGATCAGGAGACTTACTACTGAGCTGAACATGACAGCTCTGATGCCACTGAGATGGATCAGCCCATCCCAGTCCATCTCGACTGATCATCCTCTCAACCTCATACCAGACTAGCCCCATAGCATCATGCCATGTCAACCCCTGAACCTCACAGATATCCCTGCCATACATTCCTGCTGAACATTCCCCATCTCACCACTACTGAAAAGCATCACTTCACAGCTGCCCATGACAAGCCAGCGCTCTTCCTTCTAAAGCCCATAACCCAGCTGCCAGGAGACACAAATAAACCTGTTACTTACTGCAGCATGTTGACAGGACCACTGGCATGCACACACAGATGCCTCCAACATCATTAGGCTGCCCATGCAGGTCCTACATTGTAATTGTAGAGGATTTGGGGAACCCTAAATACTCCACCTGGGGGAACACATGGTTTTGGTGTGTAGAAGTTGGGTCAAGGGCATCTTTGTTTTGAAACCATTGATGGAAGAGCACAGTACTACTCTGGGGGATGGGGAGGCTTCCAGATGGTGATTAGTCATATCCAGTGATTTTGGGAAAGAGGGTCTTAACATGCCATGGAGCTTGGGGACTCCACACTAGGCTGCCAGGATGAGGCAGGGAAGAACCATCTTAAGCGTTTTAGGATGCACAAGCAAAAGCGAAGAGGCTCATAAGGTAAAACATGGAAATACCCTAGAGAGTTCGTCAGTTTATTTTCACATTGGCACAAGTTTAACAAAGGACACTTATTTTCTTGCTGACATTTCAGGGTCAACACCTACTGAGATGGGAGCTCCCACAGTAGTAGATGTGGAGGTCCTAATTATATGGATAGTAACTGAGCACTTCCTTCTTGGCATCCCAGTGTAAGCTTCATGAGCCATAGGAGAAAACATACACCAAGTCCCCAAGTAGCAGGGGGAAAGGGTGAGGTGAGGAATAGTTATTTTTTCCATCTCAATGGTGGTTACTCCTCCATTGTAAGGGACACCAGGCTGAAGTTCCTAAAGATCATGGTGCCATGAACCTTGTTCAATTGGCTAGTGGTCACATAAGTAAACTGTCCCTGGTGGTCTACAATGCCCTGTAGTAACAGGAGAAAAGTAGCTCTTTCAGTTGATATACTCCAAGCTGCAAGGGGCAGGATGGTGATGCAGGTGCCGCTGATGGCCCTGATGTAGTTCAGAAAGCCCATACAGATAAATCCAGCAATGTCCTCCTACAGGTTGGTGGGGCAAAGGAAACATCCACAAGTGCAGCACACCTCCTGGACAGATGATCCTCCTGTGGACTTGCCCATCCCAAAATTGTTAGTCGGAAACTGCAGGCTTCTATGGGTGGCTAGCTTCCTGATGGTGATGGCCACACATTTCTCCATGGTGAGGTTATCCTTATGTAGGTGGCTTGGCTCTTGAGTGTTGGGGTCAGCTTGGCAAAGATCTTTACAAAGGTGCTACAGTTCACCCTAAAGTTTTGTCTCCAAAGCTTGTCATCCCAGGTCTCCAGAACAATGCATTCCCACCTCTTGCTGCTCATCTCTGTGGCCTAAAAGCACCAATACAGTAAAAACTGTGTTATCTGGCACTTTATTAACCGGCATGCTCTATTAACCAGCATGCTGATCGATGTGGCAAAAGCGAAACTGGAAGGCCCACCACGGCACTTCTGGTTTCACCGAGTCCCACTTCGCCGACTTTGGAACACAACCTGGGGCAAAGCCGCCTGTGTGGGGCCCCTCTCCCTGTCCCCTGGCACACTGACACCAGGGGGTGAAAGCCCTGGTGCTCTGGATGGGGCAGGAGGGGCAGCCTGAACAGGCAAAGACGCCTCTCAGGTAACCGGCATATTTGATTAACCAGCACTCCCCATTCCCCATGGATGCCAGATAACACAGCTTTTACTGTACATGGTTTGCAGAAGCCTGCCCTCAATGTTGTCATTCTCCGAGAAGGTGCTGTCAATGGTGCAGAGCAAGTAATACATCTTTAGGAGGCACCCTTCCAAGGTCTTGTTTGTAGGGCCTTGTAACGTCATTCTAATGCCTGCCATCTGGCATTTGAGCTGGAAAAGGATGCACAGCATGGCTACACAGATCATGACTCAGTCTTAAGTAGGACAGTAGGGACAGCACCTCCCAGTGCTGCTAAGCCAAGGACTAGAGAGCACGGAGATCGTAGGCATCCATTTCCAGCCCCCCAGGGTGAAAGTGATGTTCCTGTAACTGACCAGACTTTCTATAGGTGAAACTGACCAGGCCTGTAGTAGCAGCGAACACCGAGGAGGGCTGAGGGACCTAAGTAGGAGAGGGGTGGTGAGGTGGAAACAACACAACAGCTAAAAGGTAGGCCTGCGTGACGCTTCAGTCGCTGATTTGATTCGGCCTGATTTGGTGGCCAAATCTCTGAATCCAAATCGAAGTTTATGACCGTTCAACCTTGTTATCCCCTGGGGCGCTCTAGTGAACAAACGCTCCCCCAGATCCTGGTGAGCACCCCTTATAAACTTATAGGCAGCCATCAGATCAACCCTGAGTCTGCGCTTTTCCAGGCTGAAGAGTCCCATAGCTCTCAGCCTCTCACCATAAGGTCCGTTTTCCTGACCTCTGATCATGTGTGTGGCTCTTCTCTTGACTCTCGCAAGCTTCTCCACATCCTTTTTGAATTGTGGAGCCCAAAACTGGACGTACTACTCCAGCTGCGGCCTCACCAAGGCCAAGTACAAGAGGAAAATGACATTCTGGGAATTGCTTGAGAAGCATCTATGGATGCAAGCCAGAGTTTTTCTCACTTTACTAGCAGCAGCATCACACTGCAGGCTCATGTTCATCTTATGGTCAGTCATGACCCCCAAGTCCTTTTCGCCTGTAGTGCTAACCAGCATAGCACTGCCAAGCCTATAAGGATGCTGCACGTTTTTCTTCCCAAGGTGGAGAACCTTGCATTTTTCAGTGTTAAACACTATCAGGGTCTTGTCCACCCATTTCGTGAGCCTGTCAAGGTCAGCCTGGATCGCCCTCCTGTCCTCAGGTGTGGATGCTTTACCCCAGAGTTTGGTATCATTGGCGAACTTGGCCAGTCCACTTCTGACTCCAATGTCCACATCATTAATGAAGATGTTGAATAATATAGGTCCAAGGACAGAGCCTTGAGGGATACCACTGGTCACAGAGCACCACAATGATTGACCTCCATCAACCACCACCCTCTGACACAGCTTTAAATGTTTTTTCTACATACCTCAAGGTACCAGGCAGCTCGTGAACACTGAGATGCTGGGGCGGACAAAGCGTCGTACAGGAGCACAAGGGACTCTACAGTGCGCTTGGCAGGAGACCTGGAAGTGGACCAGAAGCATTTCCGGTCCGGTCCGTTTCCAGATCCGCCAGGGAGTATACAATTGGTGCCTCCTGGGTCTGGGGGGTGCACCCACTGGCCGACTACCAAACCAGGGGGCGCAGGGGGGCCCCTCAGTGCATTTGGTGATAGACCTGGAAGTATTTCTGGTCCACTTCTGGATTCACTGCCGAGCATGCAGGGTGCCCCGCCCCCCCGTGGGATGCTCCATCCACCCCACCCTCACAGTGTTCACAAACCACACCTGGTACCTCGAGGCATGTAGAAAAAACATTTAAAAGCTGTGTCTAAGGCCGAATCACTCATTTTCCGAATCAGCATCGACTCTTCAGATTTGATTTGGCCCAACTGAATCTGGGACAGTGATCCGAATCAACAGATTGAATCACTGTCCCCAATTCAGGCTGAATCAGAATCAAATACTGCCCATTTCACACATTCCTAGTAAAAGGCTCTTTCCTCTTCACTCAGCAGTTCTTCAAAGCCTCTGGAAACTTGGGCCCCAAAGGCATCTCTGCTTTCCAGCCCCCAAGCTGCAGAACTCTTCATAGCCTGCACTAAAGGCGATCTTAAAGGATTTCAGTGGGGAGGGACCTGTAAATTTGCACAATACTGAAGTGCTTCAAATTTGAAGTGCTTTAGATTAGAGCAGGATTTGAAGTGCTTCAAAAGAGTAATCTGTCATACCCTAGGACCTATCAGAAAACCCAAGAATTAGTTTCAAGAAAACCAGCTGGAAAGAAGGGTTATATGGAAAGAGAAAAAGCCTGAATGAAATAAGATCCTGATGAGAAAAAAAAACGAATGAAGAACAGTATAAGGAAAAAGGTAAGGAAAGAAATAAGAAAGGAATCTACCTGAACAGGTTTATTCCTGCTTACAATGCAATGCAGATGTATGAAGTGTTTGAACTGCTGTCAGGTACTCAAAGTTTAAAGTTGTGCACTACTTCCTTCCATGGCCTTATTTTGTGGTACATAAATATTCTTTTTTGGCAAAATTGTAATTTTCTCATATCTAGGGATCTGTATGGTTTGCCTAAAAGTAAGCAATAATGGAATTACAGAATTCTGAAATTTTATATCAGAATTCATAGATGAGGGACTAAACCATCCATTTTACCATCTCAGAACACACACACACAAACACACACACACACTCTTGAAAATGAAGTGCTATAGCAAACATTAAAAAGTGATTATATAGTCTTCTAGAATTTTACCTGAAAAAATGGTAGCACATCTGTAAGAATATGTAATAACAGAATTTTTTGTGGCCAGGCTGCATGTTAAGTTAATAAAAAGGTAGAAAAAATGCTGCATTTGCAGTAGTTTTTGGTTATTTTATGTCTTTTTATTGACCTAACTGTGCATATGCTTAATTATAGAGATGCCATAATAAAATTATTTCCTGGTACTGAGTCAGTTTGCTGCAACTAAAGTAGCTATTTCATTTTTGCAAGTATATTGAAATTTTATTTTTAACAATGTCACGTCTATGTTTTATTTATGTTTGAGGCAACTTAAATAAAGGTAAATGCTGACCGTCTGAAATGAGGGTATGACCTCATATGTTGGATTCTTATTGTTTTAACATACAATTGTTGCTGCCTTAACATTTTATACATCTTGCTCATTTCAAACCCACTAAACTTTTCAGATAATTAGATTTACCTATTATAATCAAGATTTTACCCCATAAAAGTAAGGTGTAATCAGGGGCCCAAATATGTGGACACTTCAGATCTAAATTGAGGTACTATCCACCCCAAGTCAGTACAACATAATCAGTATAGTATCCTCTGTGTGTTGTATATTATTTGGAATCATTCAATTTAATTCCATCCTCAAACATTCAGTGTACTGCAGACTGTTGTTTCGTAAGGCTAAGTACAGACAATCAAAAACCCCAAGGTTGAAATCAGTTCAATCTTCGCAAGTTAGTCTAAGCTGTGTAGACTGAACCAATAAGCAAGTGAACAGACATTCACCTAGCCTGCCCACCCTGCAAGAGGGGGCTTGTGGGGGGAGGCTGGTTAAACTGGTTTGGGCTGTTTTGAAAGTGGTTTATGCACACTGGACTTCTGCTGTATTACGGGTTTGAACCAGTTTCCAATCAGTTTGTGTGTAATTTCTGTTCTAAGCCTAAAAGTAAACAAGATGATCTGACAGCTCATTAGGGAAGAGTTATGCCAAGTACCCAAGAACGAGAGAGATGCTTCAAAACGTTAACACTAAAGTGAAAATTGAAGCTTTTTCTTTTTGGGTGAAAAATCAAGGCCTTAAAAATTTGGGAATGAAAAGAAGGTGAACTCCTTGTTCCCTATTCCAGATACCTAAGGCAGCCAGCTGCACTCAACTTCAATATCTACCACTAGTGTCAACCCTAAATAAGGAATTAGCCTTCTGTTCTTGATGAAACATTCAATACCGATAGTGAATGTTTGCATTACAACCATCATTACCAGACTGCTAAGTTTCATCTCTATATAGAAAACAGCTTGTTCCTGAACAACTGACCGGAGATCTCTGTGAACTTGAGAAAATCTCCCTGCTTCAGTTGCATTCATTTCAGATTTTAAAGGTTTCTCCAAAATAATGAAATTTAACATGCTAAATTAGACTGCAATTATGCTTTGAAAAAATAGGACTAACATACCCACTGATGCACTATTCATAAAGCAGACCCTAGTTTTGTTTTACCTTTTCCATGTCTAGAACCTTATCTTGCATTTCCTTCAGAGCACAATGGGATTCTGCTTCACTCAGTCTTGCTTGAACCAACTCTTTTTCCAGCTGTAGCACAAAGTCTTCACTGTAGCGTGAACTGCATTTATGCTATAAAATTTGGAAATAAATATTTAGTATCAACTGAGAGTCTAAAGGAAGGGTTTTTTTGCTTAGATTCAGGTTGAAAAATATTGTCAAAAGCTAAAACTATCAGAACTACAAAGTTTCCTTATACAACTTTGCCTCCCATCCACAGTGGCAACATCGGGTACTGTGCCTCTACAGCAGTACTGAAACAATGCAAGACTGTGAACTCTCTACTTCTGTTGGTGGGCAGCAACATAAATTAATTCCAAACAAAGTCAGCAGGAATATCTGAGTAAATGCTCATCTGTGGTAAGATACAGGTTTTGTAGTCTGGTGCAATTATTTTTTGATATGCAGAAACAAGGATTAGGGAAAAGCTAGTTTGACGCAGGTATAAATAAGCATATTTGTCCTATAGTAAAAGAAAAATCTTCAGCAACTCCCTTTGTCCCATTCAAAGTAAATGATCTCTACAATTAAGATTTTTTTAAATTATTATTAAATACCCATGGCAATAATTTGACCAACCATAGTAATGAAAGTTCCTCTGATCCCTCGTTCCCTAAGACTGTATCCTATAAAGTGGATAAAGCACCCATTTTCCTCAGAAAGGAACCCTAAGGCTACACTGACTACTTGTACTTGTGATCAATAGATTGTAACTTGAACTGAAAGAACAAAAGCTTCTTGATACAGCTTTTTGTTATATATAAAAAAGATTACTTTGGCAACATAAGAAAATGCAAATTCCTTGTAAAACCAAATCAGGGGAATATTTCCAATCAGACTGCCGGAGAAACTGCTTGTTAGATCACCACATCCCATTTCCCAAGAGTGCCTCAAACTTTATGGTTCTGTACATGGCTGTAAGTTTCCATGAAAATAAATGATCTAGATATTACAGGCATAACCACTTTGAAAGGTCAACTTGAAGAGCAACAGCTAATAGGGCTGTGCAAAGCTTCAGTCACTGATTCGATTTGGCAGAGATTCAGTGGCTGAATTTCCGAATCTGAATCGAATCAATAGACCCTTTAATCTCTCTGAATCGAATCAGAACCCCCCCCCAATTGATTCAGAGAGATTTTGAAAGATTTGATGATTCGAACATAGACACAGCTTTAAATGTTTTTTCTACATACCTCAATTTACCAGGCAGCTCGTGAATGCTGAGATGGTGGGGCAGATGGGGGGGCGGCACTTGGGGTCCCCTCGTGGCCGATCACTGAGCCCCCCGGCGTGCTTGGCAGCAGACCCAGAAGTACTTCTAGTCCACTTCCAGGTTCGCCGCTGAGCACATAGGGGGCCTCCCCGCACTCCTGTGGGATGCTCCATCCACCCCACCCTCGCAGCATTTACAAGCTGTGCCTGGTACCTCGAGGTATGTAGAAAAAACATTTAAAGCTATGCCTATGGCCAAATCGCTGATTCTCCGAATCAGCATCAAATTAATAGATTTCATAGACATTAGGGCTGGAAGGAACCTCGGAAGATCATCAAGTCCAGCCCCCTGCCCAAGGGGCAGGAAGTTAGCTGGGGTCATAGGATCCCAGCAAGATAAGCACCCAAATTTCTCTTGAAGGTGTTCAATGTAGGTGCTTGAACCACCTCCGGTGGCAGGCTATTCCAGACCTTGGGGGCTCGGACAGTAAAGAAATTCTTCCTTATGTCCAGCCTGAAACGGTCTGGCAGTAGTTTAAAACCATTTGACCTCGTCATCCCTTGGGGTGCTCTGGTGAACAAACGCCCCCCCCCAGATACTGGTGGTCACCCCTGATAAACTTAAATTCTTAGAAAATAGACAGTAATACATAAAAACAAAAATATTTTTTCCACAAAACAATTTAGCTTTTGGATTTTATAATATGCTTTGCAAGACTGGGCTACAGTTTATATTCTGGTAGCCCTGAGCAGAAATAAGACTTGAAGAACACAAACTTAAGACAGACTTACAGGACAGGGCAACATACAACATAAGTGTCATGCAACATAAAAGTGGGTATGAAAAGTGATTATTCATCATATTTTATTTTATATATCAATTATCGTTTTCTGTACGAGTATTATCATGTAAGTTCACGCCTCTACCTATCCCGGTGGACACATATAGCTGTGTAGTGTTAGAAATACTTATTTACTCAAACAGAAGATGCCCCCTCCAATAATTAGATTCTATATGTGGAAAATTTATAATTTTGTCACAATTTTCCAGGTATAAAATCTAATTATTGGAGGTTTGTCTTGAATTTGTCCCCCTCCCACTTCTAAAGCAGGAAAAATATATTTGGGGGGTAAGGTAGCACTTTGTTTTCTTCTTCCCTCCAACTTTTCCCACTAACAGCTCCTTACCCCTCTCCTTATTGTCAGATTTTGCTCTCCATGAGCACATGGAATTGAGAAGCAAATTTGAAAACAATAACCTTGAAATTAAACATGGCTGTAGGAATTTGCATATAGTACCCATACACTTAGTTCATCCAGAATTGATGCATGTTACCTTTTTATGAAACAAATGCAAGTTTTGGCACAGGTACTCCATAAACCTTCTTTTGAACAGCCCTTTGGCACCTACTTACATGTAGGGACCTACTTAATGTGCAGTTTTGTGGTTTTCGCTGATCACTGCAAAATATTCCATCATCTGTGATTTCCCATAGAATCAACCCGGCCCCAAAAAACTTCCCCAGCATATTATATAAATAATATGTTGTTTTAGAATCTCAACATCCTTACCACGATACTTAGACACCATGGCAATCCCTGCAGTCACTCTCATGTGCTTGAGACTTACTGTCTGTAGCAATGCCAGGGCCACTCTACCAATCAGTGGTGATGGCAGGACCTCTCCACCAAATCAGCAGCGAGGGGTGGGGCTGCTGGAAAGGCCCACAAAATAGGTCCGTTGTGCCATGAGCAAGTCATGAAAATGGCTCTCTCTCCAGACACCCCCCAAAAAAGATCCATGTGCTAATTAGACCCCACTCATGACTGGAACAAGGTGTTCTTGTTACAAGTCCTGGATTCTCCAAAAACTTATATGCAGATGAGGCACAGGACAACTTGGTCTGGCTTCAACTCATGGTAGGCCACACTAATCATATGTGCTAGGCTGAGAAAGGGGGAAACAGAGGAATTCTGGGTGAACTGTTTGGGGCCCCATTTGGTGATGTTTGCCAGGCATTTAAGGCTAGTGAAGAAACAGAATTAATTGGAAATGGGAAAGAAAGGCACAGCTCAGCTGTTGTAGTGGAAAGGAAGTCTAAATGTATGCAATGTAGTGGCTCACCATGACTTTAAAAAGAGTCAATGCTGAGGGGGACTGTGCTTAACTAGCACTATATGCATCTTGTTCAGATGGGCTGTACTAACCTGCCCTGCTTTTTGACTTAGATCAGGGTGGGCTCTGGCCCTCTTGGTGCTAGCCTAGTATTCCAGTACCTCCAGACCTGGTGCCAGTACTTTCCTGGGGGATCAACTACCAATTCTTTTTAAGGTCCCCACAAAAAAGGTTCCCATCAGCATGTTTACTCAAGATGAGCCATGTGTGTAACAGTCATGCTCAGTGTTAACTGCATTTAAATCAACTTCATAACTGGTTCCACTACTAAGCACATGCTGCTTTTAGTAGTTTAATGATACACAATGTACAGTGAGATTTCCTTGTATGCAATTATAAGACCAGGAGCTTTTTTCCCCTCTGCCAGTTGAGGGAAAAAACCTTGTCTTGTATTCAAGTAAATATGGTATAACTTAAATTATGTAGGTACAGTAGAGAAGAAACATATACACAGCATTCAAGAACAAATACTGATTGCTTTACATATGCAAGTAGTCCCACTGGTTTCAGTAGGATTACTCATTTAAGGCAATCAAATGCTGGCCCTAAATGATTCTGTGACTGGGCAACATTCTGCTATTAACATCTAAGGAATGTCAGTACTTTATAGTGGCTGTCATCCTCCCCTAGGACTACAGAATTTGAATTCACTTCACTTACAAGCTGTATTATGTGCTTGCCTCAGCAAAATACTGATTATCAGAGAACAAGCTTAATAATTCTTTGGTCCAGTTTCTTAAGAAAAGACATACCACCAGGAAAAACATGACCTTGTTCCTTTGGTTTGGAATACTTATTTTATTTCTAAATGAGTAAAAATAACTGCAATTCACTTAATTTTAGGGGAAAAAAATGCACATTAAAGAGCTGCTTAAAATAGTCTTAAAATTCTGCACAAGGATGGATAAGTAGGTTATCATGATAAGCGCTTCATTTCTAATTATCTAGTAAGTGGCCCATAACCAAAATTAGCTATAGTAGCCATGACCAATATTATGATCCTCAGTATTGTGGCTTTAAATTAAAAAAGAGAATTAAAATATAATGTAAGTCTGTCAACAAGTTACAAATTTGCTGGCAGAGTGTGCCAATCTTCCTGCAAAAGATTAACTTTTAACTTCACTGACTGCAAGAATACACAACCAAGGTCAAAATAGAAAATCGGGGATTTATTTATATTTTTACAAAGTTCAAGGTCAAATCTTTCATGTTTCTCAAAGGATCTTTATTGACACAACAGCTGGCAAAATTTGGTCTTCAATTTATCTATAGTACTTCACTAAACTACATGTATTTACCATTCCCTGTTACGCAATGATAAAAAAATCCTAAATAATCAAGCTAAAATTATTTGCCGCTTTGCAGTTACAAAGCTTTCCTTGCTAAATTGATACTTCTTGGTCAATATTACATTTGCCAGTATTAGCCATTTTTTTCAGGTATTCTTGTAGAGGGAACATAGTATGGCGTTACTGCACATGCTACTGAATATTCATTAATTATATTCATTAGTTATACTCATTAATACCTTTCCAAAACAGTGACTTCCTAACAGTTCCTTAAGCCTTTTCTACAGAAATACTAGCTATCCTGTGCTTCTCAAATGGTAATATTTGAAACCATTTTCATGCCTGTAGAAGCCCTTAATTCTTACATTTATATTCCAAATTAAATGTAGAAATAG